GTGTGGTGGTCGAGCTGATGAACCAATCCGTGCCACACATCCTGTGAGAGGAATCAGGGAACTCCCCGGTTTCACGTCTGATCATAATGTACAATAGACTTGGAAGAGACTGTCTTGGACACATATCCCTTTCTTTTAATTTATTTTTTAATTGATGAATAACAGATGTACATAGCTTCAGGGTAGATGTAATAGTTTAATACATTTATATGATTCATAAAGATCAAATCAGCATAGTTGGGATATCCATCCACCTTAAACATTTGCCTTTTCTTCATATTAGAACCACTCTCATTCTTCATTTTGAAATATACAATAGATTATTGTAAACTAAAGTCACCCTATGAATCTATCAAACAGTATTACCTATTTCTTCTATCAAATCCTACAATTTTCTTTTTTTTGCCTCAATAAATAACATTTCATACACTGCCCTTTAGGATTTTGACTTCTGGTTTTCTCAGCTGTTAGAAGACCAGATTTTGTGTCATTTTCCTTCATACCCCTCTGGATTTGACAGCAGATACCAATTAAAGACAAGGGAAATGTGGGCTGCCAGAATGTCAACCTCTATTTATTAGAAATATGCCATATTGTTATCTTGTTTTGTATTGATCATTTAGTAATTATAATATTTTTTACAGTATATTAACCATTAACAATACTCTGTTTTCTTTGTTTATATTAAGTTCTGGGATACATGTGCAGGATGTGCAGGCTTGTTACACAGGTATACACGTGCCATGGTGGTTAGCTGCACCTGTCAACTCATCACCTAGGTATTACGCCCCACATGCATTAACTATTTATCCTGATCAATACTCTCAATACTCTGTTTCCTTAAGTGCTTCATAGCAATCCTCCCACCGGCCTTGCAGAATGTTTTTGGGGTCTTGCAAATGTGCCCCGTCTCTAGCTGGTGATGGCTGGAGATGTAACAGGGTCATCTACGCATGTAATTCATGACCCAGGACACACCCGGCTACTGCGTGCACATCATCTCATTTACACAGAAGTGCCCTGATCCAGACCTCACTTCCTTTCCTGTCCCTCCTGTGATCTCCCTATGGGGCATTCCTTGTGTCAGAGGCACTGGAACCAGAGCGACTCCACCTTGAATAGGGGCTGAATAATAGAAGGCTGAGACTTGCTGGGCTGCATTCCCAGATGGTGAAGGATGAGACTGACGGTCTGCACAAGAGACAGGTCATAAAGACTTTGCCGATAAAACAGGTTGTAGTGAAGAAGCTGCCCAAAACCCACCGAAAGCAAGAGTGACAAGAGTGACCTCTGGTCGTCCTCACTGTTACAGTCCCATCAGTGCCGTGGCAGTGGCAAATGCCATGGCAACGTCAGGAATTCTGCATGGTCTAAAAAGGGGAGGCATGAATAATGCACGCCTTGCTTGGCATATCATCAAGAAATAACCATAAAAACAGTCCACCAGCAGCCCTGGGGGCCGCTCTGGCTGTGGAGTAGCCATCTACTCCCTTACTTTCCTAACAAAGTCGTTTTCACTTGACGATTTGCCCTGAATTCTTTCTTGTGGTCTGGATCCGGACCCCTTTCCTGTAACTCTTGGAGAAGGAATGATTCTGATTTTTGGAAGACAAGGCTTGGGATAGAGCAGGGTGCTCATGGGGGTCTTCCCAGAGAGACATGCAAGACAGCTCAGATTTGGCTGCCAGCTGCCCCCGTCCAAATCCTCAGTGCCTCAGTTTACCCATCTGTGATGGTTAATATTGAATGTCAACTGGATTGGAATGAAGGATGCAAAGCCTTGATCCTGTGTGTGTCTGTGAGGGTGTTGCCAAAGAAGATTAACGTTTGAGACGGTGGACTGGAAGGGGCGGACCCACGCTCAATCTGGGTGGGCACCATCTAATCAGTTGTCAGCGTGGCTAGAATATAAGCAGGCAGGAAAATGTCAAAAGAGAGACTGACCTGGTCTCCTGGCCTACATCTTTCTCCTGTGCTGGATGAGCCCTCTAACATGAGACTCCAAGTTCTTAACCAGTTTTGGAGCCTGGACTGCCTCTCCTTGCTCCTCAGTCTGCAGACGGCCTATTGTGGGACCTTGTGATCATGTGACCTAATACTTAATAAAATCCCCTCTCTCTATATATATATATGGATTCCATTAGTTCTGTCCCTCTAGAGAACACTGACTAATACACCATCTGTAAAATGACATCAAGCACGACACTCCCGTCATCAGGCTGAGGGACAATCAACTAAGTTAATAAACATGCATAGTGCGTAAGAAGTGCTGCTGTCATTCAAAGAATTTAGCACAGTATAGGGTGTGGTGGTTGATATTTGTAATCTCAAGATTTGGGGAGGCAAAGGCAGGAGGGTCGCTTGAGCTCAGAAGCTCAAAACTAGCCTGGACAACATAGTGAGATCCTGTCTCTACAAAAAATTTTAAAAATATGGTCAGGCATGGTGGGAAATGCCTGCAGTACCAGCTACTCTGGAGGCTGAGGTGGGAGGTTTGTTTGAACCCCTGGGATGAAGGCGGCAGTCAGCTATGATGGAACCACTACACTCCAGTCTGGGTGACACATGGAGACCCTCCCTCACAAAAATTAAAACACATTTAAGAAAATAAAACAACTTATGTCATAATTGCATTTAATACAACTGCCCTCCCAAACACCACAGCTTAGCCTTACCTGCCTTGAACGTGCTCAGAACACTTCCATATGCCAAGAGTTGGACAAATCATCTAACACAAACTCTACTTTATAATGAGGTGTTGCATCTGTCATGTAATTTAGTGAATATTGTACTGAAACTGAAAAAGAGAATGATTGTGTGGGCTGGGCGTGGTGGCTCACATCTATAATCCTAGCACTTTGGGAGGCTAAGGCGGGTGGATCACCTGAGGTCAAGAGTTCCCGACCAGCCTGGCCATCATGGTGAAACCCTGTCTCTACTAAAAACACAAAAATTAGCTGGGTGTGGTGGTGGGCACCTGTAATCCCAGCTCCTCGGGCGGCTGAGACAGGAGAATCACCTGAACCCAGGAGGAGTTTGCAGTGAACTGAGATTGCGACACTGCACTCCAGCCTGGGCAACAGAGTGACATTCTGTCTAAAAAAAAAAGTTGTATGGGTACTGAGAGTACAGTTTCAGTTTCTGCTGAATGCATACCAGTTTTGCACTATTGTAAAGTCAAAATATCTTAAATTGAACCATTATCAGTCGAACCATGGTAAGGTGGGAGCTGCGTGTACGCTACATTTTATAGAAGTTGACTTGCCCAAGAGTCTATGGTTAACCTTTGGCTCTTACTGTGAATGATAATACGCTCTTGGAAGTGCTTTCCTGGGAAGGTGGGTTCACTGTTCAACGTCTCCCTGTAAACAGAAACTAATGAATGCATGGCTGTGTTGTCCAGTTACTAGCTGAGATCTCAAGACAGCAAGGAATAATAAAAGATTACTGATGCAGATCATAGACGATGTACACGAGGAGGTGTTTATCCCGACAGTGCCTCCGCCCATAAACAGCAGACTCCTGCCTTCATGACATCCAAATCCTTCAACAGGATAAACAGGAAGTGCTGCCTCAGGAGCATCTGAATGATGTCTTTTAATTCCTAACAGAAATACATCTCTCTCTCTCTCTCTCTCTCTCTCTCTCTCTCTCTCTTTTTTAACAAATCCCTCAAGTTTTTATTGGCTCTCTTGTTCTTTCTTTTTCAGAGGTAAATTTTTTAAAAAATTATATATTTTTTATTATACTTTAAGTTCTGGGGTACATGTGCAGATCTTGCCGGATTGTTACACAGGTACACACCTGCCTGGTGGTTTGCTGCCTCCATCCCCCCGTCACCTACATTAGGTATTTCTCCTAATGTTAGCCCTCCCCAATCTCCCCACCCCCCACTATCTCTTCCCTATTTCCCCAAACCCCAACAGGCTCCGGTGTGTGATGTTCCTCTCCCTGTGCCCATGTGTTCTCACTGTTCAACACCCACCTATGGGTGAGAACATGCGGTGTTTGGTTTTCTGTTCTTGTGTCAGTTTGCTGAGAATGATGGTGTCTCACTCTTGAGATTCGCCTGAGTGTTCCATTCTCTGGAATTGCCACGTTGCAATGACCAGAGAAACTTATTCAGTTGTTATTCAAATCCTATACTTTATGAGTTCATTAGAGTTTCTCGCAAGGCACTAAAAACTCTGATCTTGGAGTGTGGGATAGCCAGCCTGCAGGTTCATATTGAAGTTTTTGATGTAAACATTTCAGGTGGTTTTTTTTTTTTTTTGAGACGGAGTTTCACTCATGTTACCCAGGCTGGAGTGCAATGGCGCGATCTTGGCTCACCACAACCTCCACCTCCTGGGTTCAGGCAATTCTCCTGCCTCAGCCTCCTGAGTAGCTGGGATTACAGGCACGCGCCACCATGCCCAGCTAATTTTTTTTGTATTTTTAGTAGAGACGGGGTTTCACCATGTTGACCAGGATGGTCTGGATCTCTTGACCTCGTGATCCACCTGCCTCGGCCTCCCAAAGTGCTGGGATTACAGGCGTGAGCCACCGCGCCCGGCCATCAGGTGGTTTTAATTTGCAAGAAGGAATGACAGTGTTTATGAAAAGGTTTAAACATCTGAACAAATGCGATCTTTCCGGCAAAGGAATATCTAGTAATCTGTCCCATGGGGTAAAGTCATTTCAACTCTATTTTTGCCGTATGGAAATGGTCAGGACTCATTTTTAAAATCAGAAGGAAATTATTTACATTCCCCACACACCCAGTTGTGCTTAATTCATGGAGCTAAATAGGCCATTTTTTTAAACGCTTGGGACACGCAGATTGAGAAAATATGGTGAATATCTAAGTGCTATCAGCTAGCAACCTGCCTTCGTGGATCTAATTCCCAAATCCCAAATTGGAGCAGCCAGTCTTCTCCCTCCGCTCTCAGCCGCCCATCTCTCTTAGTCTCCTTTCTAATCCCACGTGGGGATCTCCCTCAAATCCAGAAGCCTCTTACCTCGGGCATGCATTAGGAAACACAGGACTGTCAGGCCGTGGAGTCCCCACCAGGGTTCCATGCTTTGCTTCAGGATGCAAAATCCTCAGCGGAATCCCCGACCAAGCGGGCTGTGAGATCCAGCCTCTCCACTCTCCTCCTGTCAACTTCTGGTTTCCCAGCCTGGAAGGAAGGGAGGCAATGTCTTCAAGTGGAAAATATGAACTGAACTGCCAGAAACAAATGGGCTCCCAGCTCCCAGCTCCCAAACTCCACAGCCGAAAACCTGTGGGAACAGTGTGTGCATGCTCAGTCATGTCTTAGAGCCTGCCTACCCCGGCTGCCCCAACCAATCTGCAGCAGCGCAGAGGATGGGGAAACTGGGGTGGTTACCAAGTGCCAATGGGCATTTTGGGCTTCTGGAAGCTGGCACACCTGCTTGGCAACTCTGCTTGCTGAGGGCGTGGGTGCTGCAAGTTCAAAGCCACCAACCCAGAAACCAGGGAAGACACTGCCCGCCGTGATGGCAGAATGATAGATACCCAGGGTAGATTAACGCACACATCAGTGCACAGAGCTCAGCTGAAGTCTTGGCTTTTATACCTAACAAATTTAGTGACTTCCCAGAGGCATTCGTCATCCTCAGACCTCAGTTGTCTTTGTAGCTGGCAGAACTAATATTTCAGCAGAGACATTGTTCAGGAATAGCAGATGACACGTGGCTTTTTGTGTCTTTCACTTAAGCCTCGTTGGATGTGGTTGAGTGTCCTAGATTCGTGAATTGTAGGTTTTTGCTTTCTGAGTGTGCAGTATCTAATTAGTTCACACATTCATTCGACAAAGATCCAATGCATGCCTCTCTTTTTTGTTGTTAATTTCAACTTTTTTTTCTGCAACCTCCACTCCCCCCACCCCTTTCAACCGATTCTCCTGCCTCAGCCTTCCAAGTAGCTGGGACTACAGGTGCCCACCACCATGCCCAGCTAATTTTTTTGCTTTTAGTAGACACAGGATTTCATCACATTGGTCAGGCTGGCTTCAAACTCCTGACCTCAAGCGATCCACCCACCTTGGCCTCCCAAAGTGCTGGGATTACAGGTGTGAGCCACCGTGCCCGGCTTTTTTTTTTTTTTTTGGTATTTTTAGTAGAGACAGTGTTTTGCCATGTTGACCAGGCTTGTCTCGAATCCCTGACCTCAGGTGATCCACCTGTCTTGTGCTAGGATTACAGGCATGAGCCACTGCACCCAGCTTCAATTTCAACTTTTATTTTAGATATGAGAGTACATGTGTAGGCTTGTTTACATGGATATATCACACCCAGATAGTGAGCATAGTACTCAACAGGTAGTTTTCCAACCCATGCTTCCTTTTCTTCCTCCTTCCTCCTTTTGGAGTCCCCAGTGTCTGCTGTTCCCATCTTTATGTCCATGAGTACCCAGTGTTTAGCTCCCACTTATAAGTGAGAACATGCAGTATTTGGTTCTCCATTGCTGTGTTAGTTCACATAGGATAATGGTCTCCAGTTCCATCCACATTGCTGCAAAAGACATGACTTCATTCTTTTTTATGGTTACATAGAATTCCATGCTGCATATGTCCCACATTTCTTTTCTCCACTCCACCACTGATGGACATTTAGGTTGATTTCAGGTCTTTGCTACCATGGATAGTGTGGCAATGAAGATACAAACAATGCACGTCTCTTCTGACTCACACATGTGCTAGGTGTCAGGTATGCAACAAAGAAGAAAAAGATAGGTTTATAGGAAAGAAACAAAGACAAACAGTGAAAGCAGACAATTGCAGTGTGATATTATAGGATGTGACGGATGCACACTGAGGTCTTAGGGTACCTGAGAGCTTCTGAACTCAGCTTGGTTTTAGAAGAGGTTTCTGCAGAGGGCGGTGATCACCCAGGATGGGTAGGGTAAAGGGAGCAGGCTGGGAGGATCGAAGTCCGTGGGCAGAGGAAGGTGGAGAGGACACTTAGGAAGAAGAGCCCAGGGCCACTGTGTGGGCCGACTCCATGAACGTCGTCGTCAACCCTTATCTCCCCAGATTCATATGCTGAAACTCGAAACCCCAGTGGGATGGTACTTGGAGATGTAACCCTTGGCAGGTAATTAGCATTAGATAAGGTCATGAGGGTAGAGTCCTTGTGATGAGATCAGGGTTCTTATAAGAAACACAAGAGACACCAAAGCTCTTTCTCCACCATGGGAGGACACAGCAAGAAGGAGGCCGTTCACAAGCCGGAAAGAGAGCCCTCACCAGGAATCAAAGCCGCAAGTGCCTTGATCTCAGACTTCCAGCCTCCAGAACTGCGAGAAGATAAGCATCTGTTGCTTTATCCACCCAGTCCGTGGCACTGGGTTACAGCAGCCCCAGCTGACAAACACCAGCTACGATGAATTATCCAGACTACTGACCAGCCAACATTTGCCCCATTCCTCAGTGACATAGAGAAAAGGCAAATTAGCTAACGTCAACCTCACAGCCTCTGAGGGATGGCTCCTAACAGACTCTGTGCCCTGGAAGTCATATTGTCTCCACTAATCTGTCACTTGTCTATGCAGGGCTTGGAGAACGATTTCCAACAATTTCCACTTGTCTATGGAATGGACCTCAGTGCTGTTGCAATTGGAATGCAACAGTGCAGTTAACAAACAGATCTGGTGCTTTCTTGACCATCAGAGTAAGGTATGAATTTGCACCAACACCCATGGACGTCCATCCATTCCATTTTTACGAATAGCCCATATTCCAAAACCAAGTTGCAATAGATAGTAGGCAATGTGTAAAGAAAGCTGAGCCCAAGCTTTGTTCCGTTTGTACCTCAGTTTATTCCATAGCCGAATGAACTGAGGAAAGTATAAGATACAGGAAGAGAAACGATTGAAACTACCATTGATGCCTAGTGTTCCATTATTGGAATGCGAAGCATGTGGGAGTTATTTATATCCTACTGCTCAAGGTCATCGCCAAGGTCTGATTGCAAAAATTCAAAAAATTGCAACCTCAGGCATAAATGGGTTATTTGGGTTCCTGGCCCTCTGGGTCCACAAGAGGGAAGCCAGACTTCTGGGATCTTAAGACCAGGGCTCCTCTGACAGCCTGGGGGGTGGGGTGGAGCGGGGAAGAAGGCATGGCAGGGGGCTCAAGAGCTTAGGGTTTGGCTGGCGGCTTCACTCACTGCCTGAGGAGCCAGCCTGACCCAGGTAGGATGAGGTGTTTGAAGCCGCTGTGCTTCTAGGGTCACAAGAAGCTGTATACAGATTCTTGTTCTGCAAGCTGGGGCCCATGGTTGCTCTATGAAATAACGGAGCATGGAGATAGGATCCTGTGGTCCCAGCTATTCAGTAGGCTAAGGCGGGAGGATCGCTTGAACCCATGAGTTGGAGGCTTCAGTGAGTGACAGTCGCTCCACTGCACTCCAGCCTGGGCAAGAGAAAGAGTGGGGACTTTCTAAAAAAAAAAAAAAATTGAGTCCATAGCCACGTGCTCCCACTGACACATGAAACAAACCTTTTATAAATCTGTTATGTTAAATTGATTTGTTGGTTAAATTATGTTAATCGCCTCCCAGGTTCAAGTGATTCTCCTTCAAGAATGCCTCAGCCGCCTGGGTAAACTGGTGTGTGCCACCATGCCCAGTTAATTTTTGTATTTTTAGTAAAGAGGGGGTTTCACCATGTTGGCCACGCTGGTCTCGAACTCCTGACCTCAAGTGATCCACCTGCCTCAGCCTCCCAAAGTGCTGGGATGACAGGTGGTGATCCACTGTGCCTGAATAGTAACATCTTTATAAAGGTAAGTTACTTGGGTGGATTAAGTTCCTGTGCACACAGGTGTGTGTGTGTGTGTGTGTGTGTGCATGCGCGAGTGCACATGTGTGTGTGCGTGTGTGTGTGTGCATATGGAGGAAATGCTCTAAGGCAGTTAGCATGTGCAATCCTAAGCCCTGAGTGGCAGAGTCCACGAAGCAGTTGATGCATTTAGATACTTCTTTCAAAGTCCCCTGATCCTAAAGAGGATGGAAGCTGTGACACCCGCTACAAAGTGGATGGACCTCAAAAACTGGATGCTGAGTGAAAGAAGCCAGACACAGAAGGATGCATTGTGTAGGATTCCATTTCTTGGGAATGTCCAGAACAGGCAAATCTGCAGAGACAGAAAGCACATTGCCGGTTGCCAGGGGCTGGAGAGATGTGGGAATGGGAATATCATGGGGTGCATTATGTCCCCCTAGACGTCCTGTATTGAAGCTCTACCCTTCAGTACTTCAGAATATGACTTCTTTCAGAAATAAGATCATTGCAGATGTATTACGTTGGTGCAGAAGTAATTGTAGTTTTCACCATTACTTTTTTTTTTTTTTTTTTTTGGAGATTGGGTCTCACTCTGTCGCCCAGGCTGGAGTGGAGTGGTGCAATCTCGGCTCACTGCCACCTCTGCCTCCCGGGTTCAAGCGATTCTCCTGCCTCAGCCTCCCAAGTAGCTGGGATTATAGGCACGTACCACCACACCAGGCTAATCTTGTATTTTTAGTAGAGATGATGTTTCTCCATGTTGGCCAGGCTTGTCTTGAACTCCCAACCTCAGGTGATCCACCCACCTCGGCCTCTCAAAGTGCTGGGATGACAGGCGTGAGCCACCGCGCCCAGCACCTTTTTTTTTTTTTTTTTTTTTTGACACAGTCTTAACTGTTGCCCAGGCTGCAGTGCAGGGGCATGATCTCAGCTCACTGCAATCTGCGCCCCCCAGATTCAAGTGATTCTCCTGCCTCAGCCTCCCAAGAAGCTGGGATTACAGGCATGTACCACCATGCCCAGCTAATTTTTGTATTTTTAGTAGAGATGGGGTTTTACTGTGTGGCCAGGCTGGTCTCAAACCCCTGACCTCAGGTGATCCACCCACTTCAGCCTCCCAAAGTGCTGGGATTACAGGTGTGAGCCACCTCGCCTGTCCTGAAGCAAGTTTTTATGAGAGCCCCAGGAAGCCAATATAGAGGACAACTGCTAAGGGGACTTGTTTTGGGGCAGTGAAAACATCATGGACCTAGGCAGAAGTGGTGGTCACACAACACCGTGAGCGCAGCAAGTGCCCTGAATTGTTCACTTTAAAATGGTGAATCTTCCTGTAATCCAGACACTGTGGGAGGCCGAGGTAGGTGAGTCACTGAGGTCAGGAGTTCGAGACCAGCCTGGCCAACATGTGAAACCCCATCTCTAATAAAAATATAAAAATGAGCCAGGTGTGGTGGTGCGTGCCTGTAATGCCAACTACTTGGCAGGCTGAGGCATGAGAATTACTAGAACCCAGGAAGTGGAGGTTGCGGTGAGATGAGGTCACACCACTGCACTCCAGCCTGGGAGACAGAGAGAGACTCAGTGTCAAAAAAGAAAAAGAAATAAAACAGGTTATTTCGATGATTTGTGAATTTCTCCTTAATAAAAAAATGATGTTTCTCAAAAAAAGTGAGTAATTAGGTTAAATGGTTAAATTCAGGACATCTTCTCCGATGAAATGAAGGTGTAAAATAATTGCTACGATTTCCACCATCCTAACATGTGCTAGACAGTGTTGTAAGTATTCTACATGCTTAAGGTAGGAGTAGATAGGCTTTTCTGTATAAGGTCAGACAGTAAAGGTGTTTCTCTTTGCAAACCGCATGGATTCTGTGGCAACATGTAACGAATGTCTGTGTGCGAACTGGACTTTATTTATGGACATTGAAACTTGAGTGCCACATAGTTTTCATGCATTACAAAATATTGCTGTTCTTTCGAGTTTTAAGAATTATTCAGACATATAAAAATCATTTCTGGCTGGGCGCCCTGGCTCACCTCTGCAATGCCAGCACTTTGGGAGGCAGAAGCAGATGGGTCCCTGAGGTCAG